GAAAACATAAGTTGATCGTGCTATATTTTGAATACAAAAAAAAATCAGTCTAATTAAAATGCAGGACTTAAGCGCAAGCGCAGTGTGCTTTCCTTCATAGAATCAGTCGGGGGCCCACCTACTAAAGACCCTTCAGTAATATACTGTTCGAATTCTAAGCGAGTTTGTCTACATTCAAATATCACTTATCAACGATGCTCCTATACAATATCTCATTCTCCATATAATATTTACTACGCTCTTGAATCGTTTCTCGAGTTCATCATGCTACTCGCGCTGGGATATAGGTAAGTGAAAGTGACTTATCAACCCTATCGATGCATGCAGAACAAAATCCGGGAATTCCCGAATGGACAGATTCCAAACTCCAGAATTCCTAGATGGCGTAAGTGAACATGACTTTCCACGTCTGGCGAACGACGAGATTAGGTATATGGGATTCTCCTCAGAGGCTTATCCACTTACAACGACCTGAAGTATTAGAACGGAAAGCCGATGCAGAGTCGCCCATAAAAAGAACCTGGACCCGAAATTATTACCTGCCATTGGATATTATAAAATCTATTGGGTGTAGTGTATAAGTCATGTTAAACACTGAATAGTTATTGATGTTCACTGTTATGACCGTTGGCACTATTTTCATTTAAAACTAGACATTTTTGACAATTAGTCACTTTTAATATAATAAACCTGTAGATATGCATGTTTAATATTTGCCGTTCATACGAGTACGCGTAAATTATATCTTATGTTACTCGCGTATGATGTAGCTTAGTATGATATAGGTATTTGTATTTCCGAAGATTACCCTCCGTAAACAAACAACAAAGTTAGAAACTATACCTCTTTATAATATTAGTATAGATAATACATGACTGTACATAGCTCGCAAAACGCACAGCTGTTGTCAAGCGCGAGGTCGAGCTAGCCGCCCCCCATCGAGTCTTCAATTTCAATCAGTAATTCAGTATTCATAGATACAGTAACAATTATCAAGGCTGTAATTATGATTACAGGATAGTATTTAAATGTTTATCAGGAAATAAAAGCAGGGATATGCACCGGCCTGTAATTTATATTTTAGTTCATTAAGAATAAGTATACTTAATTGCAAGAATGTACTATAAAAATGGAATGAACCATGACGTGAGGGGGAGGTTACATATAATGCTTTCTATTCTTTTGCATATGATCTTACATTTTGCTAGGTTTTGACGTCATAAGTGGGCATTTTTTTGTACTAAGCTAATCAACTTATTGAATGTTAATTTCTCAGTAAACTATAGAAGTGTTTATTCTAAAAACAGTTCAAACTCCTTTTATAGGATACTTTTCTATACGCAAACAACTGCGCGGAGCTTCTTTGGATGAGACAGGCAATATTTTTTATAGGTTAACAACCTATTATATTTTTTATTTTAGCAATATTTCGTTGGACACTCTCCTTTCTCATTGTTATTCATGACCGGACAAGATGTTTTGGTGTTGACTTGATTCTCAATGGAAGCGTGTACGTTACGTTACGTAGTTGGCAGTTATATTTTTGGACCGTGTAAACGTTCACGTGATCCATATGTATTAAACTCATTGGATCATTATACTAACATTTTTTGATAGAAGAAGATAGGTGACAGTATTACACTTTTTACACCATAAATTGTAGAAACGATCCTAATACTAAATAATTCCTTTGAAGAGCGTTAAAGAATGTTTTATAATCAGTTCAAATTCCCCACACCATGATGAAACAAAACCGGCCAAGTGCGAGTCGGACACGCGCACGAAGGGTTCCGTAGTGAAAACAACCAAAAAATCACGCCTGTTGTATGGGAGCCCCCTTAAATATTTATTTTGTTCTGGTCTTTATTTGTTGTTGAAGCGGCAACAGAAATACATCATCTGTGAAAATGACAACTGTCTAACTTTCACGGTTAATAGGGTTCCCGTTTTACCATTTGAATACGGAACCCTAAAAAGACAGGCCTAAAAACAAAAGATTATGCATTTTTCACAATTAAATACACCACATGCAATTACAACAAGATATAAAAGTAATAGTAATCCTTGAAACAACTACGCGAACAATAGCGTAAAACAAACAAATAGACAGGAAATTTATGTGTTGATAAACGTAAATCGGTCAAGCATACGTCCGAAGGCCAATATTAATATCAACGTTGGAGTTTGAAATTTTTTTATTTTTCCCTATTCATATTGTTATATCATCGTGGGATTGCCTGGTGACTTATACAACTCAACCAGGCTTGGGAAGAGATCTTTTGTGAACTACAGTCTTGGTGGTTTTTCTAGATGAGACAGGCATCTCATTGCAAGAGGAGTAGCCATCTCCCTGCAAGACAGCCTCCATCTCCAGTCTGCTGTATACATCGTGGTTGGCATAAAAAGAGCATTTCCAAAGGCTTGATCTCTGCTCTTAATTTTAAGAGTAGTTGCTGTCGGTCGCAGATGACTGTAACCATGTTTTGGGCAACGAGACCCTTAAGGACTTCAAGCCAAGAGACACCTGGTGGTTTTCTAGGCAGGCAGACGGCCTCTCTCTGGAGGGAATCTGCATTCCGTCATAGTCACCAGGGCCCTCGAACCTGAGAGGCTATACCCCAATTCTAGCTATACCGTGTAACCAATGTAGATATTCGAACAGTTAATATATCAAATATTCGAACAGTTAATATATCAAGTTCGCGGTAATTTTATGGGCAAGATGCAGGCTGCTGCAACTCAACGTTATTTATTAATTACGTAAGGCAACAGTCTTGATATCGATTATGTCTGGATGTCCTTTCATTTCAGGGTTCATCACAATCCAACCATGCTATGTACTATTACTAAACCCGTGCAGATTTTTTAATCAAAAGAGTTGTAGAACAAAACAGTAGAATCTACAAAAAAAATCTATAAATCTTACATGCAAAACAAGAAACATTGGTGATGTTATAAATGTCTAACATTGACCAGTTATAAAGGGGTTAATGAAATCATATATCATAACTACATGCATACATTAATATGCATGCAGCAACGTTATTTCAACAAGCACCTCAAGATCTGGAAATTATTAATCTGATATTCAGTAAATGACAATATTATGAATTCTTGTAGTTTACTAAATTTAATGAATTTTTTACACTAACAATTTGTTTAATTGAACTTATTGTAGATGAGTGGTTCTCTCTCAAAGATTCCAACCAACTAACAAAAAACTTCAGACCCATCGATAAATTTATAAATAAAATCTGCAAGAGATATAAAATATTATCTAGTTAATATAGTTTATTTTTAAGGAATCATTCATGCTAATTATAATTTTAGAATTAAAACAGAGCATTTAGACTAAGAGTCAGTTGCCGTGATAGATGACAGATAAAAATGTAAATATGGATATAGATTTAATACATTGGCCAAGATCTTCATTGAATATTGTATTGTTACAATGTCCAATTCACAGATTTTAATATTAACAGGACATTCTTCAAAGCTGATTTATAAATGAAGTGTAGTTCCATTTATAGAAACATCTATATCAAACTTTTATTTATTTTGAATGTTTTTATATCCTGTGCTTACATTTTTTGTGTTCTACTTTTTTACATAACATTTAAACAAAATATATCATATTATTATTATGATAACACAGGAAATAGTCTTGTCCACTTTATCAATTGAATGTGAACTGATTTGTATTGGGTATGCTTTTACATTATTCCAGAGCAGTTAATATTACATTATGAATCGGAACAATATACAGATAAGAAAAGAGTTTTAAATTACTCTAATAATTCCATAAACAATAATACATTAATAAATACTTGCTTCTATGCGTTTTCAATTTAATGTTTGGTGGAAAAAAAAACCTTTACTTCATTTTATGACTATCATCTACTTCTTATTTGAGTTGTATCTTAATTTTTTTACTCTATATAAAATTTACCACATTTATAAAAACCCAACCATTATATTCAGTATATATGGCACAATCATACTACAAGATTTGGTTTAAACTTAGATGAATATATGATGAATATGACAATTTGTGATGGTGTTGCAAGATAGCCAAGATAGGTCAAAGAAAATGTCTACTAGATTGTTTTTTTATTCTTTAATAACTAATGAGTATGTAATTACTGTATAATAATTTTATATTATTGGTCTACTGAATTAAAATGGTTTTTCATAATCACTTAGTTCAATTCAAATGATTAGGGCTAAAAAAAAATTATCATATTATGATAAGATAACAATAATATTACAAAGTAATAGGTAATAAAATGTACCTATATTATTGGTTTTATTCATATGAGTGATGGAGATTGATCTGTTGTTATTATAATTATAAATAAATTATATTAATAAGGAACTAATTTATTGCATAAAATTACATTACAGGTATTTAAACAAAAGTACATAATTTTGTGAGTTTTTAAATTAAATTCATGGACACAATTACTGTCTCAAAATATAATTTAGTTTATTTGATTGTGAGGCCTTTAATTCAACACTTAAATAGTTTTCTTATTACCCTCATAAAATAATGAAAACCTTACCAAATGAAATGATATGCAGTTAATATCTACAATCATTCCCAGTATTTTACCAAAATATATAACTTGATTACATTATCTGAACTGGAAGGCACTAATCAACTTTTTCCATCCACCAGCATGTTACATGTCATCCCTCCAGTTGTTTCTCATGACATAATAGTAAAACTGTGTCAAGTTGCATTGTGTATGTCGTGAGACTGTATTATATAAAATATTTCGACATCAATCAATCGTATATTAATTTGATGTGACTGTGGTTTAAAAACGATAATTCCAGAAAAATTGGAACGGTCGACACGGATTGCTCATTCAAGATCAGAATGTTATCGACCATTACACTCGGATAGTCAGTAGAAGAATTTATTCCACTTTTCATTTAATATAGAACAATTAAATTCTATTCTGGCTACTGTAAAATAATATGAAGTAGGTACTTACAATCTAAATGTTTCTTTTTGGGCGCTATCATCTCTTCGGTGGTGGCTTTGCATACAGATTTCGCTAAACCCTGGCCGGCTATACTGTGCCGCGCGGCCAAAAACCTATCGTTTATAGTCTGACCCGCCATCCTCACGTTCAGTCCTGACATAAACTAATAACACTCCAAAACGACACTTAATTTCGTGATTTTTACAATAAGTTCACAAAATTATGACGATGACGGGTAAAATATGTCACCGCCCCCCCGACTGGCACAATACTAAATTTCAAGATGGCGGTAGTTATGAAATATTACCACTTACAAAAATAAAAGGACCGTACTATACCACACAATGCTAGGACCATAGACTCAGTCAACAGATTTTATGCAAGTTTCTTCTTATCAACATAGAATACCAATCAACTTTTATACTAGAGCTGCACTTGTGAGTATCGTGCTGAAATAAGATTTACATTGTGTGTGCAAGTAAAAAGTTATTTTTAATCAATTTCAAAAATGGAGGAAGTTCTAAATTTTAAAAATAAGTATATTTAGATAATAGTTTTACTCTCGTGAAATTGAACAGGTGTCTATATTTTAAAAATATGGCTAGGGATCAGTGATTTACTAAAAATGAGTTACAGAATGCCAAAACCGCCTGATAACTGGTTGCCACAGAGTTCTATGAATGATTTATTTTGGTTTGGTTGTCCTCAAAAGTTACCAGAGTTATAGATAATCAGATAGATCTAGTCAACAGTCAATGGAATAAGGGGGCTCGTCTGCGTGACCATACAATGAGGAAGTATTTAAAAAATAAAGAACCTACAAAAAATTATGTCACTAGATGGCAGCACAAATGTAGGATTTAAATGTCAATGAGGAAGTATTTAAAAACAAACATTATTTCCCGAAATCAAACTAAATGTCACTACGGTAATTTATAGATTTCTTCTTGACAACCCTTCCAGTTTTCTTTTTCAAAACTTAATAAACAACCATTATTTTATTTGTACTTCTTCTTGTTTGTATTGATATCGTAGTTTCGAACTTTGCAAATTTCAGTTTTTTAAAGAGGAAATATTATAAAAGAAACAAAAGCACTAAAAAGCACCACCACTAGATGGCGACTCTAGCAAAAGTTGATTTTTGCAGGAAACGAATGGACCAAAGACAGTCATTTCCGTTCCTTTTAACTAACATATTAAAAACCTGAAATTTGAAAAGTTCCAAACTTAGATATCAATACAAATACGAAAAAGTACAAATAGAATATGAGTTGTTTATTGAGTTTTGAAAACTAATTTACTTTTAAAACTTGAAAGAAAACCGGAAGGGTTGTCATGGAGAAATCAAGAACGTACTGTAGTTTTATTTTGGGAACTAATGTTTTTTTTTTTAAATACTTCCTCATTGCAGTTATAAAGCCACCAATAAGTTGGCTCATCACTAATGTTGACATATAAACCAAACATCGTTCTTTTACATGTAACATAATAAATGATTTAAACTTACGATTCAAATAAATAAAAATTAATTTTAAAGTTAGATATTATAAAAAACACAAAAAGTTGTCATATTTATTAATTTTCGATACTAAATTTACTTTTATTAGAATTAACATTATAGACACTATCCGAACATAGCTAGTGACATCTTTTTGATTTCAAGAAATAATTTTTATTTTTTACATACTTCATCATTCAACGTGATTTAATAACTCGAGTTGATACATCACAGCACATCACTAGTTCCCTTCTTCTCGCTATTTCTTTCTTTCTTACTTGCCAATGTATGTTCATCAATTTTTTGTTTGGGGAATGGACTTCGGTTTTCTTGTTTAATTTAAAATAAATCAGTAACTTATCACATAAACATTCTTACATTTTATAGTGTAGTGGTAAATCTCTGAAGAAATTGTTGTATTTACTGGTTTTCGACAGACATTTTGTAGCAGGCATAAGGCCTTAGAAACTGAAATGGGGAAGAAAAAAGGAAAATCGAAAAGTTCTAAACAGACGTTTGCGTCTGGCTCAACAAAAGAAGCGGAGAATTTTTCACATAAAGATAACGATATGGACATTATAGCTGCCGCGATAAGTGCAGCGAATCAAGTAGTATTCTTAAAAGTTTGTAGGCTTTGCGAGTCCAAAGATGGGCCCTTTCTCAACATATTTGACCCTGATAAAATTACCGCTAAGAAGATCGACGAATTAATGCCATTTGCGGTAAGAATTTCAATTTGATTAACTTATATTAACAAAAATAATTGAGTTCGTTTTAAGGCGCTTTCAGGACTTTAGGCATTAGATGCAGAAATAATTTAACCTTGCCACTGAGTATTCCAATATTGCAGATGTGTACCTACTTAAAATTAGCTCAACCATAACATACCTAATAATGTTACAGATCAACATTATTAAAACTCCTTTTTCTTATTTGTAATTATGTATTTTTGTTTACTATAAACAATTACATGAATTTTCCTAAAGGACTGGACTAATCATTAACTTGGACAAGACTAAGATAATAACTTTGAGGACTGATAACAATGCTGGTATAAAAGTTGGGGAAACACTATTGAATAATATTAATAAATACATATATCTACCTAGGCCAGGAGTTGAGGATAGTTAAAGAGAACCAAGAGAATTATATAAAGAGACAATTCCATTTAGGTCGGGCAGTATTTTCAAAACTCAGCTTTGCATTTGAAATTAATATCAGCCAAAAACAAAAAGTACAAATCTTCAACCAATGCAGACACGGGTAACAACTAAAGCCATCATTCACAAGTTTTAAGTAGCCCGAAGAGCAATGGACAGGTGATTGCTGGAGCTGACACTTCCAGACAGAAAAACAAATAAGCTTTGAAAATGCAGTCAAGTCTAGGTAGCAAAGCTGAAATGGATGTAGGTGGGACATGTAGCCAGGAAGCAGGGCTCAGGGTGGTGTAGAAAGTTCCTGGAATGTAGACCATGGAGTCAAAAGAGACCCATTGGAAAAACACAAATGTAGTGGAAGGATGATGTGATAAGGCTGATGAGCACAAATTAGATCCAAGTTATCCAAAACAGATTGCAATGGATAAGACTGAAAGACTTCTATACCACTATGGTAGAAAGTGGGTTTAGATGATGATGATGATGGTGAATAAATAACAAGCAATATTATCAAATTGGTTATTCAACTTTGATCTTCTGTTTCACTTCTTTTAAGATTAATTTTCTTACTAAGACCATTGCACTATTTACTTATACAATATGTAATCTGACTAACTTAACAAAATTAATTATGAACATACCTACCTAAGAGTAACACAGAAATGCTTATTTTCACAATTAAGAATTTGTAATTGGGATAACCCCTTAAGGAATTTATTCAATCTAAATTCCTTTAGTAAAGTATCTTAAATAATCTAATGAAAACTCGCCTTATTCAAGTGTCCGATCTGGTTTTTGTGAAAACGTATGAAATCTTTACTGATTATTCTCCATACCTTAAGTTTTTACATTTCATAAACTGCTATCAAATGATTATTATATGATGTTTAAGTATAATTTGGATAGCTAAATTTTAAATTATCAATTCAGAAACTGGGTGTAAATGAATTTGTTATTATTTGATTTAGAAAGGATTGTTTTTTTCTGTTTGTAGTCTAAGAGGTCATCAGACCTGTGGTCACTTTACATTGCAGGTTCAATCATCATTAGATAAAAACTAAGTTGCATTGTTGTTGTTGTTATTCTTCAGTTTATTTGTTCAATATTAAATTTAAAACCAACCCTTAAACAAATAAAGCAGTATCCCTATCATTACACCTTCAAACTAAGATCTACCCCATTAAACTAAAATTTAACTCATTAATAGTTTCCCTCTTAAATTAATATCTACCACATTGAATTAACTTGTAGCTTTTACTTAACCTGTTAATTAGTCACTGTTTCTTCAGATTCCTTATAATTTATTCCTATCCTTTAATTTCCTATACACAGGCAAACTTTAATTATATTCCATGACTTCTTGTTTCCATTATTATTAAATGATTATGTTATCATTAGACCATAGTTTTTTTTTCTATCTCTGTTTATAATGTATTGATCTGGTAATGACATGGTTTTTGTAAATGTCATTACTCTTATTAGAGCTGGTGAGTTTCTTGCTTGATCTTCTTATCAGCCAAAAGATGTCCTGAATGAGTGGTAGGGAAAAAAATGTTGGATGATTCAAAAGTACTTTTAAGAAGTCTATTTAAATAAAGATTATTTTGACTTGACTTGACTAACATATATTACATAGATTTTATAATTATTTTATATTCTGATTTAGTCAAAGATGATTAATATTCTTATTAGAAATTCAGATTGTTCAATGAAGTAGACACTAAATACAAAAAAAAAAAACATAAACTATCAAAACATCCAATGTCTCTACTAGATAGTTTTAACCTCTGATTGAGCTGTATCATTTAGTATTAAATCTTCATGACATTGTAAAGTTGCGGGCTGCAGGTGCAGCAGATCTACCCCATAACTAATTACAATTCATACAATTATTGAGACTCATAAAGAGCATTAAAATACTCTCTACGTACCAGTGTTACTTTAATTGTGCTTAGATTTGATTTCACTTGACAAATGAACTTTAAAAAAGTGTCATATGTAATATTGACTTGAACTTTCAATTGAGAAAGTTTTGATATGAGATAATATAACAATGGACCTGTTGTATTGGTATTGTTACCAACAGCATAACTTATTCCCTGATTGATATGCCAGTCTGATATATTGTAGCCAGACCAATCAGGTTTCTGTCCGATCCAAGACCTGGTCTGACAGCTGGTTATAAAAAAGTTATTTGATAAAAAGCTATATTTTTATAATGACTTATAAATTTGAGAAGACATTTTATCCCATTTGGCTAAACATAGATTTTTTAATCATAGTTAACATATTTTTTTATTTGTTTTCAGATAACAGAAAATGATGATCTACCTCATAAAATCTGCTTTAGATGTTCTGCAAAAGTGGAGGAATTACACGAGTTCTTACAGAAATGTATTAAAACGCAAAATAGTTTACGAAGTGCCATGGGTAAAAAAGAACCACTCGCGATTAAACCTAAAACTAGGACGCTTTGGGAAGAAAAACTGAATAAATCAAACATGTCCAATGATGATATTTGTGACGCACTGATTAAAAAAGCAATGGAAGGTATTAAAGATAAACCTTTAAATGAAAATTCTTTAAGTGCCAATCACAAAAAAGACACAAAACAATCACCTGTTACTACAGTGGCACCTAAAAATAAGAAAATCCCAGAAGATACATCTTCAATCAAAATTGAAGAAGAAGAATTAGAGAAGTCTTCAAATGATAAGAAAGTATTATCTGACAGTCCTAATGATAGTAAATTTATACCAACTAGGGCTTCAAGGTCAAAAAAATCAGTTGACAATTTGCTTGATGGATTGGAGGATATGAAAAGAAAAAAAATGACTGCCAAACAAAATGATCAAAAACCAACAGATGATGCATCAGTCAACAAAAACAAAGGTATAAACGATCTGAGTTTTGATTATGACGATTCTTACTTAAACAATAAAATAAATAGATCTAATATTAATCCTACACCTCAAGAAGAAACAAAAGAAGAAGCACCCGCTGCAAAGCCTAAACCGTTTGATATCATGGATCATGTTAGCATGATTAAAGTCCATGGTGTTGGTGTTTTATTTCAGTGTAAGCTTTGTAATCGAAACTTTTTGAAAAAGGAGTTAGTCATGTCACACGGTTGCGCCAAAACTGGCGTGCCCAGAGTGGATTTTACCAAAAACTTAGTCCCACCGGCACCACCTAAAGTTCCAGTTGTAAAATATATTAATACCAAGATTGATGATGTATCTAATAAACCACCAATAGAGAATAAGTCGGAAACTGTAAAAAAAGCACCTTTAGACACTAAGCCTAAACCTAAGATAGGACCCGCAAGTAAAGTGAAAAAACAAGATAACGAGTATGGTTCAGTTATTGGAATGACTGTTATTCCAATGGAACAGGTTTCTTCTCCTTCACAAAAAGTTACACCACCTACACCAGTAGAAATTCCAAATAATATAACACCATCTGTCCAGTTCCCGACAATTCCAAGTTTGAATTCTCGTTACAAACTAGTGCCGGGCCCTAATAATACATACCAACTAGTAGAAGAGCCAGTGATCAATTCTGAGCCAGAGCCAGAAAAACCTGTAGATGAAGTTAGAAAACGAAAAAGTGACCCACCTAAAGCTTTAGCAGCAAAAACACGTAGACAAAATTCAGACAATGATAAAAGTAAACAAAAGTCTTCCGAAGTTATTCATGTAGATAATCAGCCTGTTAAACCTGCGCCTTCTGGTGCTCAACCTTATCCGGTAGGATTGTTTCAAACACGGCCACATCATTCTGGAATCTTCACAGCGCCTGTGCCACCGGAAGCACCCTTTACTACACCTGCTATGAAAAAACAGTCCTACACTGTCGTTCAAACCGGTAATCCAAGTAAATTGCTCATTTCATCGAAACCACAAGTAGTACCTGAGGAAGCTCCTAAACGTAAAACAAAGAAATCTAAACCCGAAGTTAAAACCAATATAGAAGATAAGCAGCCATTTACTGTTACTTTAGAGGATGAAACTCCACCCAAAGATTCCGGTTTCTTCACTTTCATCAATGTAGATCCATTGCTACAGCCTTCTTATGTGTTACCGACTGATAATATCATACAAGAATCTCAGATATCCACATCTACACCTGCTTCTAAGACCGCAATAGATAATAAAGAAAAGGATAAATATTCATGTAATATGTGCAGTGAGACATTTTCACGGGAAAAGAAATTGTTAACACACATACAGTCACATTACAATAAGATGGATGAAGAAGATCAAATGAGAGCAGATAAAAATACGCGTAAAAGAAGTGGGAGGAAGAATTAAAATGATTTACTCTAATACATAAGCATATGCATTTACTGACTAGCAGTAAGTATAACTAGTTGATATTTGTAATATAATTGCTACTTTTCCATTTTTGATGTTTGACTGTCTTGGTAAAAGAGATTCAATTTGGTTGAATGAGTTGTTATTTAAAATCAGATTAATAATACTTAAAACAAAGTAGTATTTTATAACAATATACTTATTTTGTTACTTGTTGTAATTTTTTTATGTTAAGATGATGTAACGGTTGAATTTATTTTGGCTGTCAAAAGATTACTCTAGTGTTGGAATTGGATGCATTTTTATCAATGTAAATGTCCATATTCTTTTACAATTATGAAATGGCAAATTAACAATATGTAACTGCTCACGCGAATTTTTAGATCAAAAAGAAGTTTTTTCCTGTTTAGCATATTTAACAATCGCATTATATTTTGAGCCGTGACGTCACATTTCAATAAATATGAGTATAGCAGGGCGACTCTGGAAATCCGAACCGGATTTCACTCTTGTGGCCGAATAAACATCATTTAATGGAAAAGAAATATATTAATTCCATTTTTTGTATAAAATACAAAACAAAATTAATTGATTGATTATATGTCTTCGATATTCTATTCCCATGTCGTTTCGAAACTCACTTCACGTTATTACCAAGTCAAGATTGAGCGGATGTCGTTTTTTGAAGTGAATTTAGACACCTGAGTGAATTCGACTTCGGGTTTGGATTTTTACTGAATCGCAGGGCTGGTTTCACTCGGAACAAAGATATTGACGTATTGTTTTTTGATATGTGAATCACAAAAATAAAATATACTTACAGTTTATATAAAAAAAAAGATACAACATATTTCATAATTTATAGACATAACTGTCATAAAGCGAAATGCAGTTATAAAATTGTTTTTGTAATAATGAAAAATAATTCATACTCGTACTTTATCAAATATCTGACAGTTAAAAACTCGTTTGTTGTAATCTGTACAGATGGCGCCATCTATAATAATAATTTTTGTTAGGGGTGGATGGTCGACGCTTTTTCGATCAATGATACGATACTGTTTTTTGTTTACCGCAAACTAGTCTAAAAAACTGTTTTTTTACTAGTTTATGTTGTAAACGGACTGAATGGAACAAGAAATTGTGTCGAAGTAACTAGTTTAGTTGACATAGTTCATGGAACGGTTTTCAGAATAAACTGTTTAGACAACTCTGTAATCGTTGACCGGTTCGTTTGTGAACAGTGAAAATGAAGTTCGTTTAATACTTTTTTCATTCTTATTATAGTTGAAGTTCAGAATTGTTTATTTACAAACACTTAATCTACAAATTGAGAGAGTTATTTACTTTCATTCAAACTGATGATAACAAACGAAAAAAATAAAAAGAAGAATGTTACTTGCATAATTTAACCTTGATCTACACCAGGGGTAGCCAACTTGTTTAGACCCAAGATCGACTTTTCACTGGCGACACCCAGTACGATCTACCAATTACTTTACTTCTTAAAATCTTAAATGAAACAGCGTAGTTCGTACACAATTATGTAGCATTTTGATTTTATTTATATTTTTTGAATTGCCACGATCGACTGGACTAATAGTCACGATCGACTGGTTGGCCACCCATGATCTACACCATTCGCATTAAAATCAAAAACTCATTTGTCGTTTTAATTACAAAGTTCAAATGTGTATTTATCCTAGAAAAGTAATGTACTACCAACTCTATATCGTCGCAGTAAAGTTTGCTTTCAAAATATTTTTAAAGTAATTTAGCGACCGAGAAAGACACGTCATCGAGCAGAGAGAAATATAGTCAATTGCCTTACAGACCGTTCGGGCCGCGTTGGACTAAAGCAACGCTTGTAACTTACATTCACGCTTAAAACAGTTTATAATCAGATGTAAACTAGTCTATCAGTTGATACCCAATAAACAGTCTAAAAACACGGTTTGTTTATACAACTCCCACGCCTAATTTTATACATTGAAAATAAAACGTTCGTTTTGGGACTTCATGCTAATTTTATAAAAAAATGTGGATTTTGGATTGATAAAAACAAAATATAAGCTAGGGTTATCTTTAGGCAGTTCAAACTATCAAGATTCAATTGAAACTAGATATTTTGGTTACGTTTTCTTCGACTACCGATAGATGCGGTTGCTATTGTAATTTTTAGTTTTAATCTTATATTGTTCGTGGTTATACATGGTTATATGTAAAACACTAGCAGCCCCATAAGGTTGATAACTAACATTTCGTTTAAGTTTATTTGTACTGTCGTGACATTTAAGTCTTTGTTTTGTTCATAAATGAAAAGTTGATGTTACATTCGGGTAATGTACGAAGTACCTACAATCATTCATATTATACAATCCTACGTAGTTTTTAACCCTTTTGATTGGTGACCCATAAATATTTGAATCCTGCGAACTTACGTATTATTTATTATTTTTCTGTGCTAAAAAAATAGTTCAATCAAATAACGTCCGGGTCGCAAGAAACTTTGTATTAAATACTGTTAATTCTGTCGACAAAATGCAGCACTGCACGTTTAGAAAAGTCTTTTGTAAACATAAAACGTCATTCATAATAGTGAGCAAGTAATAGTGAGCTCACTAAAAATATAATATTTTTTGAATGATTAGAAATATTGTAATTTTATCCAATAATACATTGCTGTATATTTGGCTGCAAGAAGGAATGTATATTTGGCTGGAACAATTAATTTCCAATGTTTGAAATAGTTTGTTTGTTTTCTATATGTGTATGTGCTAAGGCTGCCATCCAAGTCGAGCTTTGCGTAATATTTCCTATTAAATTAACGTTGGGTTTGGCATGGGATTCAAAATTACTGGACCGGTTTTATAAATATCATACGCGGGAGGCATAAAAAACTCGTCTATAACAATACCATAGGTGTAGGATTTATTTAAGATCGTACTCTAATTGAATGTTTATAGAGTTTTAATCAAATCTATCCTATTCTATAAAATAACTCATATGACATATCAAGTTTTGATATTTGTTCAGCGCCACCTACCACCATAGAGTGATCTAATACTTCCCAATATTAATAAATTGAAAAGCCAAATTTCAGTTCATATCAACGGACGAGGGGCTCAAATCCCCATATGTATCTAAGGATACATTTAAACAAAGTAATGTGTTTTGGAAATTCAATAAAGCGAATGCATAGTTGAATACATAAATAATATTTCTCTTGAAGCAAAAAAACATTACAAAAGGATTGTTATTATTTTAAAGAAAAAGAAAATAAAGATAGCGCCATCTATCGTCGGAGAAAAATAAGATAACCGATATGTTGCATCTTCTAATTATTTGTCAAGGAAATTGTACGACTTCTTCTTGTTCAGGAGCGCGAACGTCCAACTCTAGCCATAGGATATGACATCATAGCCATATTATGGCGTTATTATGTTTTATTTCACTACTTCGACATGACTTGTTGGCGGTTAAACACTACTGTCAAATTCGTAATAATCATTCCTTATCATTCAGCCGTTTTTATTAAAAAAAGATATCATGGTAGTAAAATGAAACAATATCGCTATAACATCGCTAAGATGTCGTATGCTATTACTAGTCATGGCTAGAGTTGGGCGGTCGCACTCCAACTGTCTGTTCATTAAATGATAAAATTAAATATAAGTTACAATAATGTAATTTCGTTATTATGCATTGAATACATTTTTAAAGTTATATTATTTTTTTTCTTTTCTCTTATACTCTTACAAGCTTTCTGCCAGCGGCTTCTCTCGCGTGGCCTACCTATGTTACATATAAATTTTGAACCACTTTATCTCTTAGAAAACCGCATTACGATTTGTTATGTGGTTTAAAAGATATACAGTACTATCTATAGATTCCGTGAAATGATTCCTGAAACTAACTAAGTTTCAGGAATCGAAAACATTTCATTCCCTTGTTGCTAGACTCTTTAAAATCTTATAATACTCATAGTTTGAGATCGTTGTTAATTAGTAAAGTAAAATCTGCATACAGCCAATGCAGTTCATCAGTTTATCCAAATCTTTTACACAGGTATCATATCTATATATCAGGTATAGTATCATATCTAGTTAATAAAAAAGGTCAAATTGTTATCAATTTCTAATATAATTTTAACTGATTGACACCAGGTATCTGAATCGGGAATTTAAAGTAACGTCTCAAACTGTACTTTAACGTCATTTAAACAGATTTTCGTTTCTGATTTTACTTTGTTTAACAGTCAGTTGACAGCAGTTTGATAAAACTAGGGTCTTCTTGATCTGTTAAACGTAAAAAAACTTAGGTTATAAAAATACGCTCTGTAGTAGCAAAAAATTAACAAGTGCGTGAAAAATTCGCCAGTCCTGTTAGGTCCTGGGTAGTTTAGTGACTAGAGCAGTAGCCCGGATTGCGAATGGTCGTAGGTTTGAATCCCATCTCGGAGTACCAGTGGGTAATCATTTCAGTATAGCATTGTGAATGCAAAATTTATCAAATAAAATTAAAGTAATTGAGAATAATAAGTTGAGATTTTTTACTTTTCTCAATCAATAAACCGGCTGTAAGGTTTAAAACCACCTGGAAAAAATGTATAACCTGCAATGTGTAGTATGATGAACTCGATAAATTGAGAGCTCGAGAAACGGATTGAGACTTTGAGGCCAGATACTGTATGGGCGCATCTAAGAAAATTAACATTTGATCTATCGACTTCTTAGCTCTGTTTTTAACAGCCTTAAAAAAAGGAGGTTCTCAGTTTGACCTGTGTGTATGTATGATTGTGCACGCATATCTCTTGTTTGGCTGAACCGATTTTGATATAGCGTAGTATTTGTCAGTCTTAGGAGAAGGTTTTGGATATATTAATCGACCAAAAATGGAGGTTCGTTCTTTATTACGGTTTTGACGCGGTTTTCAGAAAAGTATTTTTAGTGTTACCTATTATATACCAATAATATCCCTAAAAAGCATGAAATAAAGAAAAAAGAACCCACTTCAAACTTTAAAAAAAGTGAGCACTAATAGGTACTTATCTCAAAAGTGAATAATTCAATATAATGTTATTAAAGTCGGCCACCTATCATTTAATTGACACCCTACACAAAACCTCCGCCCGACTTTAAAAGCATTTTCTTGAATAAGTCGCTTTTGAGATAAGTATTATTTTTTTACTTTTTTAAAGCACTAACATACCTTGATCCTTAATTCGTAATTGCTTTAATAAATCTCAGGTACCAGAAAATGAGCTCGAAATTCGTTAAAGAAACCAAAGTAAGCGCCACCTACCACTGTAAAGACAAGTAATCTTTCCATTATTAAAAAGTTTCGTCTTAAGGCTTTCATTAATAAAAAATGACCTTACCTTTTTTTTATGAGTTGGTACGCTATGAATGATTCGTCGTGTGCGCAAGTTCGAATGTCATCGGGGTCGGCCCGTCCACACAGGCAAACTAGCCAACTGTCAAGGGCGCTAGTATTTGCAGGGCGGCATTGCATGGAAAGCAGATCATGTTTGCTCTAATTATTTGAACCTAAAAATTCAGTGAAATAAATTGACATTTGTTCTTTGAACATGAGTCCATGTCCGCGGTATTCAAAAGTACTGAATTTTTGGACCTTTGGCATGATGAACTCGAAAACGTTTCGTTTACACCCAAATGTCGATTCTCGGCTGCACCCATACGATATCTTGTTAGACGAGAGTGCTCTCGACCCGTGAAAAGAGACATTTGGGTGTATCTAAACAAAGCGTTTCCCTTCATCCTCTGGAGATATTTTTGATATTGGCAAAATTACATTCTTTGATAATTGCACCTATTTTGCTTATTTGCAATTTTATTTTGTTGTGCTTTTTCAAGTGTCTTGCCAAGGGCGTCAAGTGCCAGTAATAATAATAATAAAATACTTATTTGCAGAAATATGGTTTTACACGTTATTAACAATTTTTAAATGCCCAGCATATTTTGTCGTCAGGACGACGTGCAAATATTACAAGTCATACATGTCATCTAAAAAAATAATATAAAATAGTCAATATGATTCCAAAATATAAAATAAAAATTGTCAATAAAATTAATAATAATAAAAAAAAATTAATGTCAGCGTAATTTCATTAAATCAATTAAAAAATAAATAAATACAAAAATGTCAAAAATTATTGTCGTATCATATATTTGTCAGTTCTGATGATCCGTGACCCAAGAGACGCGACACATCTTTCTTCAGAAATTCAGGCTGTATAGTGATAGTTTTGTATAAAACTATTATATTTTTTCACTTGATTTTATACCTTAATGCGTTGAACTCTAACAGTTCAAAATCAACTGAGAAAATTTGACTTTTTGGTAACCTACACAGCGATTCATTAGATATCCAAACACGAATTCACTTTGAAAGCGACATCCGCTTAACTTAAAAGTGTAGAAATTCTACTGATTCCATTTTTTTTGTATAAAAAACAAAACAACATTGATTGATTCATACGTGTCACAGATATTCTGTCCTTGTCATTTCGAAACTCTCTTCACTTATGCTACGAAACGTTGACACCAATTCAAGTTAAGCGGATGTCACTTGCGAAGTGAATTTGGACACTTGAGTGAATTCAAATTCCGGATGTTTACGGAATCGCTCTGCTGACTATTGTATACCAACCCTTATAGTAAGAATGGTTTCCACTAGTTGTTATAAGGTTGAAATGAAACTCGAATGTCAAGATGATTTATTTATTGATGTCTCTTAAGATAAAGCCATAAATTTTTATACTTAGTCGAAACGTATAATCATGCCACCTAATAGAGTGGAAATATAGTTTCTGCTCACATTTAAATTATTATTATAGTCTGACGCAAGTTAATATTAGTTCCCAACGGTTATTATTATTATTACAAATCTAATATCTAAACGTAGACTGAATAGTTTTGAATCTACACAATGAGACCGTTTTAAAGGATATCCTTAGACATATATCTCGACAATCTACGAAGAACAATGGAAATAACTTATAAATTGCTCAATAAATAACTCTAAATTTACTCTATAATTTATAATAAGTAACCGTAGAAATCTGGTAGTTTGTTCGTCAACACAATGTAGGTATTTGGTCTAATGATTACTTGCTATAGACTACTTGTTATAGTCGTATGATTTAGATCAAAAATTGGCTCAATTATTTATCATGAGAAGATAAATTCGGAGATTTTTAAAATAGGTTATATATAAAACAAAAAGAAACAGTAATTTATAACTTCTGGCAAATACAGGCCAACTCCATTCCAAAAAAAAAAAAATATATATATAAAAATGCCCCAGCCTTGCTAAAAAATAAAAACAACGCGAATGCTTACAGTTGTGATTTTATCGACTTATCAAATTTTTTTTGCATACGTTTGCGATGTTTTTTTTTACCTTTGTAACTACGTCATACGTCTATTTGAATATAACATTTAATTCGTTGTTTCCTTAGCCCGCATTTGACAAAAGTTTTTCTAATCACAATAGCGCCCAAAAAAATTGTAGGTAGATAGAAAATAGGTATACACTCATAGCGTTAGTATTCGAAAAAGCTTTTAAAACTAGCTACATAGATTATCATTAATATTCTACTATATTATTATGTAATAATCTATAATAATTTAATAACACACATAAAATTATTTCTATTAAGTATAATAAATCACATAATTTTTGATATGTTTGCTGTTTCGAAGGCAGCACCGTTTAACATGCTATTTTTTTAATATAATATTTTTAATGATGACAAAATGTTCCTACGCATATGGGCCTATAAAATGTTTCATAAAACTCTAAAATACCGATCATATTAAAATAATTGTACTTTATTCACTACTGATTATAAACTATGATATGTATTCGTTATCCTAATACCGTCTAATATTTAAAATGATATGTTATCGTGGTCCTATTCTGGATTTTTAGAGATATAAAGCGCATGCATTCTTTCATCAATTCTTAATAATAATTTACTAGGGACATTTTTTTTCTCAAACCGATTTTGCTTTATATCTCGTTTAGAATGGACGCAGTACAAAGGAGTCGCCTCTGATTTGTTTTTTTTTGGGTAAAAGAGCTAGCTGTATAGGGGCGACATGCAAATGCAATCACACTCATACAAAGCGGGCCACACTGGGGTCATCGAACTCATACCGAGAACGACCTAGAAACGGAATTTTCAATAACAGTTCGATGTTGACGCGAGTATCCCCAATGAGGTCCGAATTTTCAAACCAATTAAGGTCTCGTCGTGTTTTATTTGATACAAGTACTGTTGAATCGAGACAACGCCATAGTGTCATCTTGCTTCTCCTTTGAGTCGCTTTATGATTTCAGGATGAGACCTTGAGGTTTATAAATCTAGCGAAGCAAATGTCAAATACAAAAATATACCTACTTATATAAATGGTTCATATATGTAAAATAATACCATTTATCACTATCTACTTATATATGAGACGAAGCCAGGAATCAAAGGCGACACTAGAGAGTCTCGCGTGGCCGGTCGGAGAACAAACAGGCGTCGACAGTGATTCCATACGGATAAATCATCGAAATCATCTGACACATTCACACATTCTAGGAGTCAAGGTCATGGGAATAGACAGTGTAGGAGGGATTTTACTTCCTCCTATACTTGATCGAGTCGTAAGGGAGGTAACTGTAAAAGGAGGAGCTTATGGGGCCGAACTGGAGGACGTGGTAGTAATCAGAGGCAGACTCCGGCGCTATTCAGTCGAGGAAGCCGGTGTTGACCAGCTTCTCGAGGAAGAACTTGACGTCGCCAAGCTCGGAGTCCTTGATGCCGAGAGACTTAAGCATTCCGATGTCGCCGTTTTCCACCGCCATGAACACCGAGCGCAGGTGCTCCAGATCAGAACGCATCAGGTGGAGGGCAGCGCCGAAGTCCTCGATGGTTTGAGATTCTGGGGAATTATAATGTGATTATTATTACTATACATACCTGCAGATCCATCGCTTAGGTTTACTATTTGAACTTCATTCGGTTTTCACCAACTTTAAATTAAATGCCGATTTGATAGGTACTCTTAAAATTAAAGCTACGTGCAAGATTGTGCGCTCGTAATTAATTTTGCTTGAAGTATGAACTTTAAACATCAAATTAAACTGAAGTTTAAGATGATAAATTTACTCTGGACACTTCTTTACCAGCACAAATTATACGAACCGGGTAGGGCTGGCGATGGCGTTTCATATAAGTTGATTGGAAGAGCATTTTCAAAGATGAGTCCATAGCCAAACGTAAGTAAATGTGAATTTTTGAGATGAGACAAGACCTTTAATATTATAGTTACCTAAAAGTACCACCCGTAACTTTATAAATATTTTGAACTGCATTACAGACAAAACATGCATTTATAACCTTTCCATGTCGTTTTGTAATATGCATATCCTTTTTATAAAATATCCTTTTTATATAATATCACGCGATTGCCGAGGGAATTATGAATTACCTGTATTATTAATACTGCAAGGATTACTCAAAAATCTCCGAAAAATGAAAGCTAATCTCAAGAATTTTTTTTTATGGAATTTTATCGTAATAAAAAATATTTTTTCATTAAGGAGCTCTAGAATCGTGGCTGAATAATTCAACGAAATATCGCCAGCGTTAGGGTTCGGATAATTGATTTCTATAGTATTTTGCTTATTTTTAGTAACCGAAATAATTACACATATATACGATACCTACTGAGTACTACTTCGATCTTAAGTAGATACAGCCTTTGTCATCAGGACGTGATGTCGTGATTACATTGCGTTATTCTGTTTTCATGTTTTTATAAAGATTTATATACAACATTCCAACGATTGATTAATTTTACCTGACAAAGCAATGGCGACCTTTTCGACACCGCCGAGTGGTTCTAGCGCGTCTCTCGCCTTACTACCGAACAGTTTCTCCAAATAGTTGGGGCCGTGCGACGCCAGGAGAGACTGTAGGAATGATGCTGTCTCCTCTACTGGCGGCCTCTTAGCTGTAAATAGAAACTCAATTTATTATAATAAACTGGTTGCGTAAATTATCTATAGTCTTTGTCACTAGCAAATGAAGTAGGTATTTTTTTAATCGTAATCGTTCCTAAAGTTTCAAAGCCAACAACAATAAAATCTTTCTTCTATATATTATTAGTATAGATAACAATATTATATAGTATAGATAATAATACAGCTTTGCTATTCTCTAAAGTCCGTACCAGTCATGTACTCAAATACGCAATATCGTGTCGGCTTTTACCCGTACATCAAAGTAAACAGACTACAAAGTTTGTGTGGCCTACCAGACTTGTTGTATTGCAATATTTAACAAAGCGTGAGCAGTTGTTTTGTATTGTATTTTAGTATTAATAAGGAGTCTGATGTGGTTACTGGTTATTGTTTTCCTGCAGCTTCTTCAAACACGATCAGTAAGATGGGATTCGTAAACGATGCATTACTTCGAAAAAATAGTTTCTCCGTGCCTTTATGCTATATCTATCAGTCATCTTTGTGACAAATGTGATTACAAATAATCAGAAAGTAAGTCTGCAGACCCAAAAATTCACTAAAATGTTTCCTCAAACTATTTATATGTCTGGCGGCTGCCTAATGAAATCAGCTTCAAACTCGACATTGAAATAAAACCTTTATTATATTTTGAAGTATATTTTATTTCATTGCCCTCATGACGAAAGAACGCTATGCTCGATGTCGAAGAGTGACAAGTCAGTGTGGTTAAAGGGAAATGAATAAGAGTTTAGTAGGTAACTGTATAATTAATTTTGTCAACAAATTCTAACCAGAACTAAACAAGTTACTGAAATAATAAGTAAATTTTTGAGGTACAGAAACAAAGAAATATGTGCCTATACACATATTTATAACAAAAAATTTTGAACGCACCACCCCCGGGTGAATTTGGACCTGAGATTCCAGCTTTTAAAAATAATAAAGAGACGAACTAAACAACAATTCAAAATTAGCGGTGCCCGAGGCGAAACGGTTTGGCAAATAATTCCAGACCATGAACTTTATTGGAAACGAAAGTAAATATTTGATACGCAAATATTTATTTTCGTTTTCAATACAGTTCTGCCGCGCTTTTACATATCTAGTACTATTGTAAAGAAGTAAAGTTTCTACCTTTGTTTATACGGGGTAGGTAAGTTTCCGAAATATTGATCCAATCAGTTGAGATAGATTATAATTTACGCGGGCGAAGCTGTTTATAAAAACGGCTTGAAACTCTAAGTCGAGCGCAGCGCTGTCATAGCATAGAGGCTCAGTCAAATAAAACTTACTTCAAAAGATAATATAGGTTTTATTTAATTGAAGCTGTAGACTCTCACAGCGTTGCATCCGGCATCGAGTACGAAGCCTTTTTTTAACAGAATACCATTGCCGGCGCCTATTTGTCTTATTGTAAAATGTATCGCAATGCCTTTCAATTTGACATTTTAAAGATATACACGAACTTAACGCTACAACTATTTGGACACATTTTTTTAATATATTGAATGAAAGATATCGTTTATTGGAATTATCTATGCAAACCGATAAATGATTGAAATATATTGAGAAGTGAGAAACGAAAGAGTCAACTCTCGTGCTAACATTGAAATCTTACAAGGAGTTTAGCTAAGTTTTTATAATGTTTCTCGATGTTTCAAACACTATACCTTCGAAAGCGATTGCAATATTATAAAATTAGATTAGCTCCCTAGTCGTTAGATAAATATTAAAAGTACTAGTAAAAAGAGTTAAAAACATAATTTTATATATTTTTATGGCACCCTTTTTAAGGGCAGGTTCTACTTATACATTCAACGGAAGGACAAAATTAATGTGCTCTCAGGCCTTTAATGTCTCGGTTAAGAGTTAAAAAACAGTTTTTTTTAATGTTGAATTTTTGTTACTTCCCCTCGTAAAACAACGCGAAACGACGCAATAAAAATAAACAACTGCCTCGGATTTTTTTTTGTCAGAAAACTACGACCTTCTAGGTCATCGCACTCGAAAAATAAAGTACCTACTGACGATATTACTTATTGATTATTACGTTAGAGCCAGGTTTTTATTTGCTACAATTTCGAGCTATTTTTAGCAAACTGTAAAATAGCCTCTCTAAATTAGTACACTATATTATGCACATTTAGACAGAAAACCGATACACATATTATGCTATTTTCATTACAATTGTATGAACAATGATATGGAGTTAGGTTTTCGTCTAATTTTTAAGCTATTTCATATAGGCCTAGAAACTCGGAGAAATAAATAGTTAATCGTGAAAGAAAATTAATAATTTTTAAAGCCCGACGCTTTTCACTTGTATAACGCGTAGCAGTCGTAGCTAACGTAGCCGACGCTACGGCTTGTAGCAAATCTATTCTACATTTACAGTATGTATATATTTTGTGCTTGTAATGTAAAACAGCTCGCTGAAGGGCAGAATACATTTATATTATAGGAATACATTTTTCACCCATTGAATTTTTACCTGATAATCGATTCTACTTCGTGTCACTTCGTATTGGGTTATTGGATATCAATGATTATTTTTTTATTGGATTTCGGTACGCTCACATTCCGGTGTCACTGTTGGAATTGCTGTTTTTGTTCCGATTTTTGATGATTTTTATGTTAGTGCAATATGTGTTTGATGCAAACTTTTAATGTCAATTAATTGTAGCATTATTTTGTCAATATCTTTCAAAAACATTGATTTTCAAATTAGACCTATATTAATTGGTTCATACGAGTGTGTCTGTATTTGTTAACACACACCAATCCGTTATGGCCCCCCAGCAATGGGGAGTAATGGTGATGTAGGTATACCCAGTGAAGCTCATTGGAGTAGTGGATAAGCGCCGCGGCCAGCGGTTGTTGTTTTAAAAACAACTTTCGCAAGGATAGGTCACGGGATGGGTTGTAACGGTGTGCCGTACCACCTTTTATTTCGTCCTAGGCTTCAGCATGCAAACTTTTTGCCTCTGGTATTCAACATTATTTCTTTTTATTATTCATATTTCGTTATTTGAAATTTTGACTAATCAAATATGCTCTTTATGAATGTCGGTTCATAAAAAATCGTCTGTTTTGAACATGTTATTGTAAATCGTATAAATTGAAATATAAAATATTATATGAAGTTATTATGATTAAAATAAAATTATATCTTGAAATATCGTCCAAGTTTACGTATCAAGGCAAACCCAAAAAGGGGTATATATTTGTTCTATTTGGTAATTGTAATTATATATTTAGGTAAACATACGAACTGTTTTTTACATAATTTTTTTTGGTTGTTACAATTTTTTCTATACCCTTTACATATTTATCATAAAATAAATCAATTCTCAAGCTTAGTCAGCTTTTTATTCATTCGCCCAAGCATCGAACCCTAATATTTTTCTCTTATCTTGAGCTACTCCGTGCATTTTACAGTCGTTAATACTCTCCAATCCGTATTGGGCCAGCGTGAAGGGTCATGGTCAAAAGGGCTGATGAAGATAGTATCCTACTGTATGTAATAAAATACTAACCAGCGGTGCAGAGCTTGGAGTCCTCGTCGTATCCGTCGATGCAGTCCGGGGCTCCGTCGCATAGGTACTGTATCGAGATACAGTTCCCGTCTACAGGACACTTGAACGGCTCGTACGGGTGACAATATTCTGGAATAACAAAGTGAACATGTCACTGTGTTTTAGTATTCACTTTTGGGTACAAAACATGGGACAGGTTTGAGATAACAGTACCTTTATATATGGTGTAAATAAAAAAAAACTTGAGTGTATCGGTCAAATAGGTTATTAAATGATATATTACAGTAAACTAAAAAAATAAACAAACTGAAATTCGATCTTTCGTAAAGAAAAAAAAATAAGAGAAAAATGCGAACTCGAAGAAAAAGACGAAATCTAGATGACAAAGCGGGGGCTTGGTCATGGAAACCACTATCGAGGAAAAGTTCTTGAGGCCCTCAAGCCCCAATATGTGCCACGACGTTCATCAACCAGTTTCAAAAAGGCTTGAAAAATTCAACCCTTAGGGGTTTAGGTGGGCGAAGCCGCTGACGGAAAGCTAGCTAAGTATAAAAGACAATCAACATCTTAATCTGATCGAACATGGAACCTGTAAAGGATTCGAAACGTCCGAAGAGAAAATCATATACATACGCGTTATATACATTCAAAAGTAATTTTATTAAAAGGACATAGTTTAAACAAAGCATATTTTGAGTGCGTGTCTGGCTCTCCCTCTTTCTTAAATAGGGTTATTTATTTTGTTAGGATCCTTTTCCTTTATCCTGTTAACGGTCATTTTGTTTCCAGGGGAATATAACAAGCTCCGCGAAATGTGTACTCATATATGTTAGTACATGCGTGTAATTGAGCTTGTTGTGGAACCTTAACGAGAGTTTATTGTGATGTATTCATATAGAGCACGTGTTTATGTGTGTACACATAGAACTAATATAGATTATTCGATGGCGTATTGGTTGACAAATTAGTTACATTTTTCCGCAGTCCCCGAGCTATCAACACCCAGCTCGAAGGGCGACAATATTCCTTTAGTCTTATTATCAGTTATTACCACCAAATCACCTTCCGGTCCTGCAAATCTAGTAATAATTTTGTGTTATTATCAATGAATGCTTTGTAAGCAAAATAAGATAATATTCGTAATACTTTTTTTCAATTCTTTATTTAACATTTCGGGGGCTTTGTCCAGACATACATATGTCACCCCCATAATTTAAGTCACAGATGAACAAATTAGGTATATTTACAATACTCGTGGTAGTTGTAGATGTCGCGAGTGGGACCTAAAGTACTAAAACACATACGCCCTACATAAGGCTCCAGTCAAACATCGTCATTTACCTCTGCTAATGTATTAGCTGCAGTGGACCTGCGATCCGGTCTCTGTCTAATCCGGTGCCCATTGTAACCTGACACGTTTTTCTATGTTGTTAATACGTAAAAATCTGCAAATA